AGGTCATCGCTTCAGAATTAAATAATTTGTTTGCTATTTCTTTGCACAGTAGGTGTCACTAGTGAGCAATACTGAATGAAGCTTCGAGTAATGAACCTTTGAGTGAAGCAATGGGCTGCGAGGTCTCAGTGGTTCAGGAAGCCTCATTTTGCCATCACTATCTCGAAGGAAAGGTGTACATTTTATTGCGATCCATTGTATGATGGTCTTAGCCTTTTGTGCCTGTAAATGAGAAAAGGTGAATGTAAAGTATACAAATAATGATTTGTTTGTTAATGGTGAATCTTTCTGTCTTACCTGGAACTTCCTAAAAGGAGGGGCTCGTGAACAGGAAGCCTGATTTATACCACCCAAAGGAGGAGGAGTTCAAGTATTGAAAGTGTTGAATGTTCTTACATTGAATGCATGTCTTTTAAGATTCTCTGTGGTTTTCATGATGAAAATAGAGCTTAAAAATGAAGATGCTAATATTAATGTTTGAATGTTGATGTTAAATATGATCTTATAAATAAGTTATGTAGATTGTATTTGAGACAGCCTTGCCATTGGTACGTTTGAATTTGAGGGGAGGAGCCTCAACTATAAAGAAAGGGGGGAGAAGAGAACAAAGGGTGATTGTTGGGCCAGTAACCAACGTGTTTGATTTACCCTATGTAAAAATTTACTTTGATATGTTTTTTTTTTTTTTCTTTTGTTTGTATTTTGTTTTTCCTGTATTGGAATTTTGGTGGATGGAACTACATTACACTGTTTGGAGCATGCCCTGACAAGAAAATTAAATCACCTTTGTGAGACTTCAGAGTTTTTCCTTTTTCTTGCTGCCTGCCTGGCCATTGCTAAGACCGTCTTATATGATTATACAGTATATATGAAAATAATTTGTGATTTTGTACTTTTCTATTGCTATGCACCTTTTATAAATGTTTCAAGAAAACCTAAAATTCTTTCTAGATCGAGGAGACTTCAGACCTGTTAAATTACTGTGAGCAAATTACGAGCTATGGCTACACTGGTCCTATAAACAAGGAGAAAATAAATAGGTATCGCTTCATGCATTTCAGGATAGTTCACCCAATTTATTATTATTTTTTCAATTTTGTTTTTCTGCTTACCCACAGGGCATCCAAGATATAGGTGACTTTGTTTGTTCAGTAATACACAATGATTTTTAAAGGGGGGGTTGACTGCGATTTCACTTTTTTCATTTTAAATAGTGTGTAATGTTGCTGTTGGTGCATGAACAGTATCTGCAAAGTTGCAGCGCTGAAAGTTCAGTGTAAGCAGAGATATCGTCTTTTAAAAATCAGGAAGTATATTGCCTACAAAAATGACTCGATTGGGACTACAGCTGGGTTTTAGACGTCACTAACCCATACATTTACATCAACCCTCCCTCTGGAAAATGCAAAAAAGGGCATGGCCATATTTGTAGTAATTTGTAGCTAGTTTGAACTACAGAACTTAAAGATCTCCCTCTTTTCGTTTTTATTTTAATTTTATTTTTGCTGCAGATTAAATGGTTAAACTTCTGTTTCGCGCAGGTGCAGTGAGGGGAAAAAACACTGAGTTTAGGGCAATCGGTTCGTAGCTTTGCTTCAATTGTGCGATATAGTCACGAGGAGCGACCAAAATTTCTGACATGCCAGAAATTCATCCGACCATCCCATTGTCGATCGTGAGAGGTTAATCGCCTCTCGTTTCTCCCTGTACACTGCACGAACACTGCACGACAAACGACGCACGACAAAGCTGAAAATCGGTCCGACACGAAAAAGAGTCGCACGAGTCAGAATTCGGCTCAAAATCGGACGAAAATCGCACAGTGTATGCCTGCCTTTAGGGTTACAATGCTTTTGGGAATCGCAGCCCTGCACATTTTGTCTTTTTTGTAAGCACCTGATTCAGGTCATCAGCTTGTTATGAGACAGCTCCATGAACTAAACAGTTTATCAGACAAGAGACATACAATATGTGTAGAGCAGTGGGTCTACAGAACTGGACTTGAGAACCACTGTGTTAGAGAAACTCTTCTGGGGCCGTATTCACAAAGAATTTTAAGGCTAAAAGTAGCTCCTAACTGGCGAATTTAGGAGCAAGTCCTAAAGATAATGGCCGTGTCACTCCTAACTTTAGGACTCCTAATTTTTTTCACTAAAAGTAATTCATGAAGCATTTTAGCCCTAAAAGTAGCACCTAAGTCTGGGACAGCTTAAAAGAAGTCGAGAGAACTACTAACTCACTAAGACCTATTCACAACCCAGACAGCAAACTGACATTGAATCAACGTGGAAACGACGTCTCTCATGACATTGAAACAACGTTGATTTTGCTCATCGAATTAACGTTGAACCAACGTCAGACGCGGCATTCTTCAAAGCTAAATGAAAATCGCATTCTCCTTTTTCCAAAGTGCTAGGGCGGTTGCGCTCCGGTTGGGTCTTGTCACGTGACCAACTGTGCGCTCCTTACGGACCAACTGTGCGCTCCATACGGGCGCGCTTGGAAAAAAACGGGCACTCACACCTACATTTAAAATAACGAACTTGAGCACGCAAAAGACACGATATATGAACACAGCATGCCCTTAGGCTACCTTGAATAATTTCATTCATGACTTTTCTCTCTCTGCCTTTTTAGAATTACACTTTTACTGGGGCCTGCACAAACATGTCATTATATAGCATTTCGATTACTTTTTTTCTTATTATTATTTTGTGTAGGACACAGACATATTTAGATGTCGTCATTCCAGGATTTGTTGCTGTGTAATGTTCTGCATTCCTTACTAAGAGTAGGTCTGAAATAGCCTGGCTGCTCCCTCCTACGCACTTCCGCTCAATTTCATTTTACTTCAGTAACTACGTCTGGGATCGCTCCATATCCTTAGGTTTCCAGAAATCAATTTTTTTGTAGGACCAATCAGCGAATAGAGGGAGTGGCTGAGAAAGATGACGTTGATGTAAGCGCGTCAGTTTGAGTTCAGTAATGGCAGCGGAGAAAGACGTGAGAAAAGCTATTCGGTCCGTTGTTGGAAAAGAAACTGCCGAATATACAGAATTTAAAGCCGGATTGTTATCGTCTAACCTCTTGTTGCACAACTGAGGACCAAGTGTTGGAGGCAGAAAGTTTGGAAGTTTGTGTTGGGCAGCTCGTGCACGATGACCGTGACATTTTGGACGGACGGTTTAGCCTGGTGTTCGCGGTGTTCGGAAGCCCCGAGTCCTGGCTGCTAAACTATTGTTGAAGATCCGCTCAGGAGTCATGTCAGTCGCTCATATTCCCAACTGTATATTTACTGATTCTTGTGATGTATAGAACATTTTGAGCCCCTTTGTGCACTCGTGCAGGAGGTTGGTGTGTCTGTTTTACATGTTGTAAATCATACAAATTGGTTGTGATTTTTTAAAAATAATTGTCATAAATAAAAATGTGAAAAACCATACTTTGAAGATATTTGATTTTCAGTTTTAGATGGCAATGGTTGATTTGTTTTACTAAAAAAAACTAAATTCCACATAAAAATGTACAAACACATACTTTGAAGACCATAATTAAGGTAATTAAGAAACAATAAGACGTAATATGAAAAATTGTTGTTTATTACACATCTGCAGATAGAGACAGACTGATCATTCACTGTAGCTGCTACAGCATTTGCGGCAGATCAGAAAACGACCACAGCGGCGTATTTGTAATGATTACCCACAGCTTCCACCGTTAAATGAATATATCACTGTCCTTCGTGTCAAATATACATTTCGAATTAATAATTGTTCCTAGATTAACAAAACCTGCGGCGCTCTTTGACTGAAATCCTATTGTAAACATAATCCTCTGATCATTCGGACTTGTTGTTTCCAGCCATTTCGGCGCGTGACGTCACTCACGACACCCTGTTAGCGATTGGCTATGGCAGATCGTGAGTGACTTGGGCAGATCCAATAGATTTGAACTTTAATAGTGAACCCGCCTACAAAGAAGGAAACATTTCTCAATGGAGCGGTTCCAGACTCTATGTGCAAATGAAATGAACTAGAGTCTAGTCTAGGTCTGAAAGGCGTTGTGAATAACTTTTAAGAGAAAACTCCTAGCTAAAATATTTTAGTGCAATTTAGTAGTACTCCTAGTGGTAAGATACATTTTTTTGTGAATACTACCCCTGAACTTCTATTTTTGAATATGGCATTTTCTTCAGATGATATTTGTTTTTTTATTTTCTGGAATGTTTTTTCAGATGGACTCTGATTACATTGCGTCACATCTTGACCCACAAATAAGTGATAGTGGCACTCTAACGCACAGCAAAGAAATGCAAATCTTGAATAAATTCCAAGATTTTTTAATCTTGGAATTAATCTTGGTAAATTTGTTGTTACTCAAGTGTTAAGGCAATGTCTATTTTTAGATACTTTAAATATATGCATGTATGTTTACTGCCCTAAATGGAGATTCTGAGGTTAAGGCATTTTCTGTGTCAAAAGTAATGCAGTGGCTGTCTGGTCAAGCACATAGACATCTGCTCCTTTCAGAGAGACAAGCTTTTAAAATCACGGTTCTATTTGACCATACATGCAGGGAACCTATGCCAGACCACAGAATCTGCTACCCTGTTGTCAGTGCATGCACCTAGACAATCACATTTCCCACTGCACATTTAACAAGTTTAAATGAATTTAAAGAAAAGATGAAAATTGCAGTGCAACAGGGAGCTTACTTTTACAGGGTTTAGAACAGATTTGTTAATGCACTCTTACGTCCTTTTAATTATTTTCACCTCTTAAAAATAAAAAAACACTACTTTATCTACTTTAAAGAGTGGCTTACAAAGTTTTAGATTTGCACAACAGTGTCATGAAGTTAGTTTTTCCAAAACGCTGTTACATGTGATGTTCTTGTGAATTACATTTCTGATGTAACAGCATGTGTTTTTGTAAGCTTCTTTTTTTTTTGCTAGAAGTCAAATGTTAGTAAAGCTCAATCTTAGACATAGAGCTCTCGGTAGTTCAGTGATGATTTCAGGGGATCAATTAATCCCTGCAGGACAGCAAGGCTCTGTTCAGATAAAGGGCATTGGATCTCTGGAACCACCACACCATCTTCTGGGTCAGTATCAGACGTTTGCTGGTGACACAGTTGCTTGATTGTCTGCAAAATCAAAGAAACATTAAGTAGCTCAAAATGCCAACTGTTTTGAAATATTGTCAATTACTTTTTTTATTATTATACATTTTATTTTTAGGCGCCTTTCTTGACACTCAAGGTTACCATACATTATCAACAAAACAATAACAATTTTAAATTAAGAGACTATGTGATACAATACAATTAAAATACAATGCAGTTGTGATCAGAGGGAGTAAGCTATTCTAAAAAGATGGGTTTTAATTTTTGATTTAAAATGTGAGAGATAATCAATATTACGGAGGTCTGGTGGAAGCGAGTTCCAGAGCTGAGGAGCAGAGCAGCTGAAAGCTCTGCTCCCCATAGTAACAAGGCGGACACAGGGAACAGTGAAATGGATGGAAGAAGAGGATCTAAGAGTGCGAGCAGGTGTGGATATATGGAGAAGATCAGAAAGAAATGAAGGGGCAAGATTATGATGAATGACTTTAAAAATTAGGAGAATTATTTTGTAGTTGATACGATAAATCATGATAGGTAGCCAATGGAGCTGTTGTAAGATAGGAGTGATGTCATGAATAGAGGGGGTACGGGTGATAATACGAGCAGCTGAATTTTGGACCATTTGAAGTTTACGGAGTGTTTTATGCAGGAGGCCAAACAAAAGGGAATTGCAGTAATCTAAACGAGAAGTGACTAAACTATGAGCAAGAATGGCAGTGGAATGAGGCGTAAGGAAAGGGTGCATACGGTTGATATTTCGGAGATGATAGTAAGAAAACCTGGTGTAAAGTAGATTTAGGCTGAGTAGAATCCATAAGCGGGTCTTTATTAAGGTACTGAGCATAAAATCCAAACAACAGTCACAATTCGAGGTCAGGTCACAGGCATAGGTCAAAGCACATGTAAAACAATCCAAAGGCAGACAACTCCAGAAAACAGCAATCCAAAAACGTGAGTCAGGAAGCAAAACAATGGTCATAACAGTAAATCAAAACAGAATAGTAGAATGCTTAGTAAGGCAGAGAACTGGCAATACTTCGCAATAAGGCAGTGATAGCACATGGCTTAAATACAGAGTAACAGGAAATGACAAGACAGGAACTGATGTGGCAGGAACAGGAAGTAACAGAGTTCAATATTCAGGTGATTGCTCCCTCTGGTGGACTGGTACCTGATCAAACGTTACACCGGGTAACATTATTTACATGAGACGTAACAGAAAGGGTGCTATCGAAGATGACACCCAGACTCTTAACCTGAGATGAAGAAGCTATCAATGGGAATTGAAAAATTATGGAGTTTGTTTAATGTTGATCTTGTACGTATAAGAAGCAATTCTGTTTGATTGCTATTTAATTTAAGGAAATTTGAAGTGAAGATTTTATGTCTAGAAGACAGTTAGTAAGGGAAGATGGTGGAAGTATTGAGTTTGGTTTGGTTGAAAGATAGAGCTGGGTGTCATCTGCATCATCTGTAGCAATGGAACTGAATCTGATATTTACGGAAGATGTGACCAAGAGGGAGAAGATAAATTATAAAAAGCAGGGGTCCCAGGACAGAGCCCTGGGGGACTCCTGTGGTGGCAGAAACTGAATGAGAGGTGAATAATTTTAACTGAATAAACTGAGTGCGGCCTGAGAGATAATAAAACCAGTTATGAGGAGAGTTAGTAATACCAATAGAGGAAAGTCTGTCTAAAAGGATAGTGTGTGAAATTGTATCGAATGCTGCGCTCAAATCAATCAGAAGGAGAATAGATAGTAAACCAGTCAGCAGCCAGGAGAAGGTCATTAGTGATTTAAAGGAGTGCCGAAGGTAAACCAGACTGGAATTGTTCATATAGATTATTGTAGGAAAGATGAGTAAAGTTGAGCAGCAACTATTTTTTCAAGAATTTTGGTAATGAATGGGAGATTTGAAATAGGATGAAAATTATTAAGGTTGTTGGGATCTGAACCAGGTTTCTTAAGAATTAGAGTTACAGCAGTTTTTTTTAAGAGAAGAAGAAACAATACCAGTGGTAAGAGAAGAATGGATGATGTTTGTAATGAGAGGGGACAGAAAAGGAGTAGCGACCTTCACAAGAACAGTAGGAAAGGGGTCTAATCTGCAGGTTGAAGATTTGGATTTTTTAAGGAGTTCCGAAATTTCATTTACTGAGGGTAAGGCAAATGCTGTAAATAAATTGGTGGGAGCAAATGTAACTGAGATGGTGAGTTCAGACAAGAAGTAGACACAAGTTGCTGGTGGATGTCTTCAATTTTTAAAGAGAAAAATGATAGTATAGAATTACAAAAATCAGAAGAGTATAAGTGAGGAGGAAGTGGATCCCGGGGTTTTGTGAAGTTTGTAATAAGGGAAAAAAGGGCCTGTGAATTTCCTTCACTTGAACTGATTAAACCAGAATAGTAAATGGTTTTAGCCCTAGAAATATAATCTTTGTAAAGGAGAATGTGCTTTGAAGACATGTAGTCTTTGTGCACAGTGAGAATGGTTTTCCTGTAAAGTCGTTCAAGTTGTCTTCCTTTTGCTTTTAATTTTCTAAGAGTGGGAGTAAACCAAGGTGCAGAGAGAATAAATGAAACTGTCCTGGTTTTCAGTGGAGCAAGGTTATTAAAGAGGTGTTTATTGGGTAATATTGTCAATTACTTGTATCCATGTTGTAATAAACTCATGTATCTTTGCTCATATTCAGATCTATAATTAAGATGCATTTTAAATTATTAAAATCACAAGTTGTCAAGTAAGGCACATTTATGCCTCGTTTCCACTGAGGGGTACGGTAAGGTACGGTACAGTACAGAACGGGTCGGGTCGGGTACACCATGATGAGGCTTGCGTTTCCACCGCCAACAGTACCCTTACTTGATAGGCGTGGTATGCTGGAAAGAAGCGATCGACGTCATTTTCGCGTGAAGAAAGCGATAACAATGGATGATAGACAGCAGATCTTGTTCTTGCTTCTCGGCATGTTTGTCACTAGAAACAAGCGCTGGCATTAGGCGTTTCCAAGAAGCCAACGCAAGTCCAACTCAGGAGAATGATCCCGAGGACGCGAGTCCAGTAATTCTGTTTATGGAACAGCGCTTTCTTGAAAGCGGCACTCTGCTCGCTCTGGCTCTGCGACTCCGGTTATCTCTGCATGTTCATTTTAGGCAACAATAAAACGAAATATGCTATAAAACACCACTCTGCTTCTTTTCGATTTCATTTCAATACATTTTAAACATTCTAAAGCACACAAATGTGCAACACATAGCCTTGATTATTCACTGCATGTATTTATAACAAAACTAAATATAAAACAACCTTGCCTCTTTTCGTTTAAATTAAAAAATATTAAACATATTCCAGGCAATATGTAGCCTAATGTATTGCATAGGCTATCGCATTGGTACAAATGTTGCAATAAACAACATACAGATGATCTTAATAAAATAAAAAATGACAAAACTATCTCTTTTCGTTGAATTTCAGTTTTATCAATAATAGCCATTAAAAAAGTACAAGTAAAAAGTACGAAAAGATATACAGTAAAGCTTAAATATAACATCAAGAAATTCAGTCAGTCAAATAGCCTACTCAGCGCTCAAAGATATGAAACTTCACGTAGCCTTCTGCCAAAACTATTGGCCAGGGAACGAATTATAGATTCACGAGACCAGAGATCACCTGTTAGGTTTATACAAGACGAACTATATCTCATGTTTAACCGCTACAAAGAAATCCGAGTCAGCGGCAAACATCAGAACGACTAGCCGAGGAAAGGCTGTTCCAGGCGGGGGACACGAGCGCGAGCGTCTGGTGATCGCTTAGAATGGATCTCAGTCAAATTATCATAAATCTATAAATAAACCACAGATTTGAGCTTTAAAAAACTACTTTCTCGCCTGAAAAACTCTTAAAACTACATTTCGTGACACAATAACAGTAGAATTATATTTCAACTGTATGCTTCTAATGCCCTTGTAGCACGCGCGAGTGTCGATACTCTGTCCACCAATCACCGTTCTGCAGTGAGTCTAGCTCCACCTTTTAGTACCCTTTCACTGTGCTAGGTACCCCAACGTAAGGGTACCCAAAAAGTGGTACGGTACGGTTCGGCTTTTTGGTACCATTCACAAGTTTTGACAGTGGAAACGCAAATAATTGCGTACCGAACCGAACTGTACCGTACCGTACCACTCAGTGGAAACGAGGCATTACAAAGGGGTCGGCTACTATGCTCTATGAAGAGTTATTATTGTAACAAATACATTAAGCAAAAGACATCATCAAAGTAGTCCATGTGACATCAGTGGGTTAGTTACAATGTTTTGAAGCCTCGAAAATACATTTTGGTCCAAAAATATCAAAAACTACGACTTTATTTAGTATTGTATTGTCTTACGGTTCTGTACACGGTGAATCTGGTTACTGGTTAACCAGAGAAAGAGTGTAATAAAGACTGAACACTACAATATTTAAAAATACCAAAACTCGCATTTGTGAACAATTCAAAAACCTTTGGTAAAGGTAATTTTACTTTGTGCAAAGATAGTACCAAACACTGATATCACACAATATGATGTTTTATTATCAAAATTCAGGTGGAGCAGGTTCAGATACTTAACCTAATTAGCACAGGTGGAGAGCATTCAGTTAATGAACTCAACCATTTGTTCGTCTGAGAGTTTATCAGCATCCCTCCTCCACCCATCTCCTCACTTATAACGTAGACTAACCATGTTCCATACACAACGATGTTCCGTACAGATGACCAGATGTCCTGCCGATCGCTGAATAAATACTCCCAGGTTATACATAAACTACATGTGTGTAATCATCATTTCTCTCTCTTTTTATCCCTGACAAAGAAAGAGAACCCCCTGCCGTTTGTTCCAGAGAGATTTCAGTAAGTTTGCTAGGTGTGTCCGCTGCGCCTGCTAATGGAGGCAAGCTGCAGCCCAGATATTAGCTTAAAGGTGCAGTGTGGGATTTTTAGCGACATCTAGCGGTTCGGTTGCGAGTTTGCACCAGGCTTACACTAAGGGCTCAGCCCACTGCTCACCCCTCACTTTCGAAGAAGCTATGGTTGCTAAAACGGGACAAACATCTCGTCGGCTGAGACAGCAGTGTGTAACATTGTCATTGTTTCTGTACCACAGTCCATTATAAACCACATCATGGATAAAGTTTACAAAGCCATAGTCAGGTGAGGATCAAGGGTTTTAATATATAATTTAATATAATAATAGTAATCAGCTGATTGTCTCACAAACAGCAGCACATTTCTCCCCACGTAGCAAACCCATAATAGAGCAAGGGAGAAGAACCACATGAAACTATGCAGCTATATATTTTTTCTAACAGGGTAGTAAAAGTTTAGCTGGCTAATATGAGCTGTTACTTTGGGTGAGCTGGTTAAAGCGTAAAGCCTTGTTTATACTCGACGCATCCGCATGAGCCCAAAGGTACGCGCGGCAAAAAAGACATGATTATAACTGCGCACGCACCTCCGCATCCCATAGACACCATTTACTACACACAATAGGCTTTATTCTTTTTACTTTATTACATACACTGCTTATATGAATTTATCTGGGTTACTTTGGAAACAGCATTTGTGTGCAGGCAAGCATCTGCATCGGTCGAGCACCCTTCCTCTTTTAGCTCCCGCCAGCGAGGGAAGCGAAAGTTGGACCAATGTTAATCCTCGTCCTGGCTTTTAATTTGTCACTCTCCCCTTTTCTTTATTTAGTTTCCTCTAATAAAACCATTGCCTTCTTCCTTGTTGTTTGACCATGACGAAAACATACAGACGGCAATCAAACGCGAGTTGAGCACTAACGTCAGAATCTGAGGAAGTTTGGGGTGGTGGGGGAAGTGACGTATGGCGTAAAGTGGTCAAATTTTGTAGTTCTTTTTGTGCTCGGGTTCCTACCCGAAACCCGAAGTTACAAAGTGCAAGTAAAAGCGATACAGACACCTTCAGGAGACGGCAGACGTGTCATTCAACCTATTGTAAGTCGATCTACCATCTCAATGGGTTTTGGTAATATATTATAAAGGTTGAAGAGTTCCACAGTGTGGCTTTAAGTTTTTTTTTTTGTAGAAAGCCTTTCTAAAAATTTAATTTTGTTTTGTACCGTTGTATATTATTTTTAATCAATGTTTTATCAACAAATTACCTGGATTTTATAAATAAGAAGCAAATATAGACGAATCCGGCGAAACTACCGGAAGTAAGCGGGGCGCCATTACTGAGCTGTTGCTGGGTAGCGTTGCGCCATTGCCTCCTATTGTTTTAGTTGCAACTTGCGTCCACTGGAATAAACAGCCCGCGATTTACGACTGTCACTAACGTTACAACGTTATCCCTTGTATAATGTCGAGCGGGTAAACAGTTTCCGTAAATTGTTTCAATGGTGGCAGTAAAATTTCAATTTTAAAGAGAAAACACTGTGAATACCCCGGGTCAACTGCCCCAGTCTGGTGCCGTGCGGTTTACAGATTTCCTGGGCGAGTACAAGACGTGGACATTTGCGTATAATAACAATTATTTAATGACATAAGTAAAAAATATATAATAAATATGTGATATAGTGATCAGCAAAATCTCCTCTCTTGCTATTTTTTCTATTCAATTAACATGCTATGGTCATTAAATGGCTTTCCTGAGCTAAATGTAACGTTATGTGACATAATTGTTTTCCTGCTGTTATATTGACCTCTTTCCATGGTTTAAAAACACTAATTGGTCGATATTATGTATACTTTCTAGCTGTAACGTTACCTTACCCTTGCCTGTTGCAATGTGAAAATGAGATAAATAATGGACACAAATGAAAAACATGAATTTGTTTATTTGATTTCATTCATTTATTTATTGTTGCCAAATGGACAGATCTTTTTATAGTTTCCTCGTTAGCAAACGTTAGCCTAGCTAGCTTGCCAAGCTATTTTCATAAATAACGTTAATCTGTAAGATCGTTTGTACCTTCATCTGTGACTGGAGGCCACTGCAGTCACAGATCAAACCAACAAGTCATTCTGCCTGGCTGTAGCTGTCATCGAGGGTGAGTTCGCGTTTTCACCGAGGTTTGTTTACATACCGGTGCCAGCTCAGTAATGGCGTCGCCACAAGATGGCAGCCTACACAGAACGCTCGTCGGATTCGTCTATAGCAGACAATATAATCAGGACATGGAGATGCCGGCGAGATTGCATTGCTCGTGAACTGGAGCTCTTCTCATAAATTAACCAAAACTCAGTGTTTAAGCTACCTCACATACACGAGAAATATATAGAAAGCTTAAAAATGTCTAATTTTAAACGAAACAATTCAAAACGGAAAGAAACCGAATACTCTCTGCTTATGTAATCCATATGAAAAGTGCATTTCTCTCTATAGGTGCTTTACTGCGGTCACTATTGTAGCCGACAGACACTAATAAACAATTAAAATGTCTCCTTGCTATATTTGAAACATTCATAATCATTACTTTTGCCGGTTCCTTGTGGCAGCTTTTGCGTTATTGGCAGCATCTTCTGGTTACATGAACACGGTGTCACCACAGAATCAGCACTGAAAACATCGGGATTTTTTTTTTGACAATAGCGTAATCGCACGACCTATCGATATTCTGTAATTAAATAAACAAACCGAAAATTCGAAAATCGTGACTCCTTAATTAATGTAGGATGTCAGTGTAAAACTCGGACATCCTCACACGAATGTGCCCTTTTTGGTAATGACTGTCCTTCTACAGAATTTATCACAGAGTAAAAGCTCTTACCAGTTACAAAAGACACTTTAACAGTCTGTCACAGGCAATTCTAGTTGCATTTTTCATCAATTAATTTCTTAAATTATCCATTGACTATGTTCTGGCTTGCCATCTAGTGTCAAAAATATTTTAAAATATTTTTTTTTAAATAACCGTGTTTTCATAACAACCTTACTTGCCGACCCCTGCCATAGGAAATTACACCCGTGTATATGACAGCACTCAGCGCCAGCCAACGCGCGGAAGCACATTTGAATTTAGCAGTTGATCACGTTATGCACTGACCGTTCTAATTAGAGTTGCACCGATTGATCGGCTTGTGATCAGAATCGGCCATGATCGGTGACCGCCGGTCAGTCTTAATGCCGGTCAAATGCACTCGGGCACCACATGATTACCCAGATAGCAAACTGACATTGAATCAACGTGGAAATATGACATCGAAACAACGTTGATCTGACATTGTTTTGCTCATCGAATTAACGTTGAACCAACGTCAGACGCGTCATTCTTTCAAAACTAACGGAAAATCAACTTGAAATCAACGCGTTGTTTCAACGTTATGAAAGCAAACCAATTTTCGATTTCATTTAGCTTTGAAGAATGCCGCGTCTGACGTTGGTTCAACGTTAAATCGATGAGCAAATCAACGTTGTTTCAATGTCATGAGAGACGTCGTTTCCACGTTGATTCAATGTCAGTTTGCTGTCTGGGTAACGTTGTGCAACTTCAGTATCACACGTGCACAGACTGCACACAGAACGCACATGTAGTAAACCTTGTGAATTAAGGCCGGATCGGAAATCAGGCCAGATCACGTGGTTTCAGACTCGATTGGAATTGGATGTTACCTCCCGATCAGGACTACATGCATATATATTCTCAGAATTTTTTAACACATCTATTGTTATGCGGTGGCACAGAGTACCCTATGACACACTGGCTGCGTGGCGTGTCCGTTTTTATTTCGGCTCCCATGTTAACAGGTTAGAGCTTGCAGACTGCCTGAGTGACTTGCGTGCTCAGGCGCGCTCGAGCCGTGAGGAAAACACGTGCATGCTAGAAATAGAACCGACGCCTATTTTTCACGCGACACGCAAGCATTTCCAGGCAAAATAGAATAGAGAATCTGTTTATATTGTTGCATCTCACACGAGGCCAGAATTCAGTTAACTTTTATATTCGCCAGGCACAACGTGCAAGCATTCAGAATCATAGCTTCAAAATAAGAGACGAACTTCCTCAACCCGCCCCCCTCTCCCCAGGCCACCTAGACAGCAAACTGACATTGAATCAACGTGGAAACGACGTCTCTCATGACATTGAAACAACGTTGATTTGCTCATCGAATTAACGTTGAACCAACGTCAGACGCGGCATTCTTCAAAGCTAAATAAAAATCGAAAATTGGTTTGCTTTCATAACGTTGAAACAACGCGTTGATTTCAAGTTGATTTTCCGTTAGTTTTGAAAGAATGACGCGTCTGACGTTGGTTCAACGTTAATTCGATGAGCAAAACTATGTCAGATCAACGTTGTTTCGATGTCATATTTCCACGTTGATTCAATGTCAGTTTGCTATCTGGGCAACCAACAGCGTGCCCGGGGTTCCACATAGCTGATTGACAGCCACACAGCCATTGACAGTCGCTACAATATGTTAATTTGTACACGAATACATATGAATAAATTAAATTTTGATGGTTGAAAGTCTAGTTTTTGACATAAATTCTGATACAAATATAATTTGAAAATAAATAAATTGTTTTTTATTTAATACTTCACTGCCTGTCAGTCTCGTTCACCGAGGGCTTTGGCTTAGGGCTGCTGTAATGCAATGCAGTCGACTTTTCCAGGAGTAACTCCCGAGTGAATAAATTTAATAATTTTCTCTTCTACTGCCGCAATCTCCAACTCACTCCACTTTCTCTTCCTAGGAACTAATGACAATAAAAATTAACTGCACTGGATGTGTTGTAGGTGCAAGACTGGATTATTTTAATACTATTCTTTATGATGTTGTTGACCTTTTATAAATAAAGCAAATAAAAACTATTATTGGACAGGTTCCTTACCTGTTGTTACTTTCATGACCTCCGTGTCCTCTCTGGAGATCCTTTAGAAACACAATCATATACATTTCTAAAATCAAACTACTAATACCTTCATTCGTGTTTACTGGCCTGCAGCTATTCACTCCTGAAGTGCCTGCTTGAAGGCATGATTTAATTATTATTTAACAAATGGAAATGACAAACATCTTTAAAAACGTGTTTACAAATCTTTACCTAGCTCACTTGACGTCACATCATGAGAATGATATGTCAGTTCTGTTTCATTCTCCATCCCAGCATCAGTCTCAACGCACTCTGAAATATAGTCCTAGTATTCAGAGATATGCACAGATTCTTCCAAAGTCACTAGGACACGCTTGACAGGTAATTTAAATTCGATTAACAGGTTACATACCTGTTGGATTGATGTTGATCTGGTCAAGATCTTTCCATCTGAATTCATTAAAGGAGAACTCCGGCGAACAATGAACCTTTGGTCTAATAAAACATCGGTGCCTAGTCAATCATTCTCTGAGATTTGTTTTCATGATAATCGAATGTAAAGAGTTTTATCTCTAAAAACTGTTTAGCGTATAATGCTAGTAATGGGGGCATTGAGTAAGTAAAAAGAAATCGCCAGTTAATAATAATAATAATAATAATAATAATAATGAATTTTATTTGTAATGCACTTTACACATGACGAACATATCTCAAAGTGCTACAAGTGTACAGATAAAAATAATAAGAATAGATATAAAAACATGCAATGACAGAATTAAAACAACAGACTTAAGAACAGTCAGTTTACGACAAAAGCAAATATAGTTTAAGAAAATGCAGTTAAAAATAGGTGGGTCTTTAGTTTATTTTTAAAAACCTCTATAGACTGTGGCGCTCTCAGGTGATTAGGTAGAGCGTTCCAAATTTGAGGTGCAGCTACCTGGAAGGCCCTGTCTCCCATAGTGCGGAGTTTAGACTTAGGAACCTGGAGTTTGTGAGTATCAGAAGAGCGGAGATGTCGGGATGGATTATGAATATTAATGAGTTCTGTGAGGTACTCTGGTGCGCTACCGTGGACGCACTGATACGTTAGGAGACAGATCTTATAATCAATCCTAAATCTGACAGGGAGCCAATGGAGTTTTTGGAGGATAGGTGTGATGTGCTCGAATCTGCGCACCCTCATCAGGACCCTGGCAGCGCAATTCTGAATGTACTGCAATCTTTGCATGCTACTGCCAGGGATCCCAACGAGGAGTGAATTGCAAAAGTCAAGCCTGGAGGAGACAAAGGCATGCACCAGCATTTCTGCATCAGAAAAGGAGAGGGAGGGGCGGAGTTTGGAGATGTTCCGGAGATGAAAAAAATGCAGTTTTACAGATGTGTTGGATGTGAGTATTAAATGATAAATGGGCGTCAAATCGTACCCCAGGTTTACTATGGAGGATGTCAAATGAATGTCATGGCCAGCAAATGAGTAAATGGTCAGGGGGAAGATCGGAGTTGGTGTGGGGTCCCAATTAGGAGACCTTCAGTTTTGGTGCTGTTTAGCTGGAGGAAGTTATCCGTCATCCATGCCCTTGTCTCCTCCAGGCAGGCGTTTAGAGTGGACAGTGATAGTGTAGGTGATGTTGGGTCTAGCCTGACATATAGCTGAGTATCATCAGCATAGCAATGGAAGGCAACGCCATGCTGGCTGATGATGTGGCCCAGTGGGAGCATATAAATGGAAAAAAGGGTAGGGCCGAGAACGGAACCCTGGGGCACTCCACATGTGACTATGTGGGGCCTCGACCTGCCCCCCCCCCAGGGCCACATACTCAACCCTGTCAGTCAGATAGGATCGAAACCATTGAAGTGCTGTGTGTGAGATGCCAATGAGGTGTTGCAAACGATGGAGTAAAATGGCGTGGTCAACAGTGTCAAAGGCGGCTGTGAGGTCCAAGAGAATAAGGAGAGATGGAGAGCCCTGGTCAGCAGCCACAAGAAGATCATTTGTGACCCTGACCAGGGCTGTCTCTACACTATGGCCAGAGCGGAACCCAGACTGAAATTTTTCATAGAGACTATGTGAGTGAAGATGGTTATGAATTTGATTTGAACTATCTTTTCAATGACTTTGGAGAGAAATGGAAGGTTGGAAATGGGCCGATAATTTGATAAGATATCAGGATCAAGAGATGGTTTCTTTAGCCTAGGGTTGATGAGAGCAGTTTTAAGCAAAATTGGAAAAAGACCCGATTGCTAGGAGGAGTTAATAATGGTAGTGATGAAAGAACTTAAAGAACTAATATTTGATTTGATCATAACAGTGGGAAAAGGGTCCAGTGAGCATGTTGAGGGTCTCATACTGTGTATGAGAGTCTCAACCTGTCTATGTGTTGAAGTAGTGAAATGAGAGAGTATTGGTGCAGAGATTGAGCTGATGGATGAAGTGACATTGCTTGGTATTAGATTAGCGCGGATGGTAGTTATTTTAGTGTTGAAAAAATCAAGGAATTTATTACACTGGTCATCAGTATTGTTTTTTATGTGTCAGGGAAGATGGACTGAGAAGATAGTTTACTGTTTTAAAAAGCTGTTTTGGATTTCTTGGATTGTTGTTAATGATATTGGAGTAGTATTGTGACCGTGCCTGACTGAGTAATTTGGAATATGACCTTTGGTGCTCTCTATAAATGATTTTGTGAACAGTGAGCCCAGTGGCAACATAGCGTCTCTCAAGGACCCTCCCAGCCGCCTTCTGTCTACGAAGTGCATCAGTATACCATGGAGCAGAGCGTGTAAATGTTACAGTCCGAGTCTTGAGGGGTGCATGGGCATCTAGTATCCCTTTTAATCCGATATTGTAATGATCGACAAGCGTGTCAGTAGTAGAGTGATCGGCAGATGTGGTAAGTTTTTGTAAATCATATGACAGATGTTCAAGGTTAATTTCTTTTGTTTTGCGAAAGCAGATTTTATGTTTAGGTTTATTGAGTGAAGTCGACAGTGAAAAGTCAAATGAAATGAAATTTGCAGATGAAATGAAATGAACAGTTAATACCACTAACAAGGCTCAAAATAGCCCCACACTCACACACTAACATAATGAGACTCCATACATGCAAAACGAAGCATTGAGAACTTTGTAAGTGTACAGACCGTTTAATAAGAAGATACTTTATGAAGACAGTTCACTTCGCGTATACAGACAGGAGCCATCTTAAAAAATAGTCTCGATAAGTCGATCCCCGAACGCCGCTCATACAGTTCAGAAGTTTGTTGAACTTCATACAGTTCAGATCACTCAGCACGACGTTCGTGGATCGACTTATCGAGACTATTTTTTAAGATGGCTCCTGTCTGTAAACGCGAAGTGAACTGTCTTCATAAAGTATCTTCTTATTAAACGGTCTGGACACTTACAAAGTTCTCAATGCTTCGTTTTGCATGTATGGAGTCTCATTATGTTATTGCGTTAGTGTGGGGCTATTTTGAGCCTTGTTAGTGGTATAAACTAGCGATTTCTTTTTACTTACTCAATGCCCCCATTACTAGCATTATACGCTAAACAGTTTTTAGAGATAAAACTCTTTACATTCGATTATCATGAAAACAAATCTCAGAGAACGGTTGACTATGTACCGATGTACTATGTACCTATGTACACGAACCTGTATATAAAACTTTTTATTTTAGGTACACTAAATGCATACAGTGAATAGACAGGATTTTGATGCAAGATGCAAAACAGGCAGAACAGTCGCACAGCTTGATCAAACAGGATCAGGTTATTTTATGTTTAAGATAGATATAGATAAATAAATATTTAGACATTTTTTTATTACATTGATCTTACCTTGAAATGTTTATGTATTTTTTATTAAGAGTTTATGCAACACATGGAAGCTTGATTTCAATCCTTGAATTAAATTGAAAAAAGTAGCACAAAAGACACAAATAAAGAGACATTTTGGAGGTTTTTTTTTGTATGTCAGAAATACTACAGAAACTGAATAAAGTAATCCAATGCAAAATAACACTGGATAGTCTTTTTAGTCCAGATTGAATTAAATACATAGGCTATTAATTCTGATTGCTTACAATTAATGCAATATTATGTTGTCATGACAACTGAATTAATGACAGACACATCTGGCTGCGTTCACTTTAAGAACTAGCACGGATCCATTCCTTTCTCATAATAGTACTGTCTGTCTGTCACACACGTTTAATGCTAATTTAAGACACAATCGACTGTCTTTACGAGGTTACTACCCAGATAGCAAACTGACATTGAATCAACGTGGAAATATGACATCGAAACAACGTTGATCTGACATTGTTTTGCTCATCGAATTAACGTTGAACCAACGTCAGATGCGTCATTCTTTCAAAACTAACGGAAAATCAACTTGAAATCAACGCGTTGTTTCAACGTTATGAAAGCAAACTAATTTTCGATTTCATTTAGCTTTGAAGAATGCCGCGTCTGACGTTGGTTCAACGTTAATTCGATGAGCAAATCAACGTTGTTTCAATGTCATGAGAGACGTCGTTTCCACGTTGATTCAATGTCAGTTTGCTGTCTGGGTACTCACCAAGATCAGAATTTTGACATAATTTTGTGTGTTTTTAACTGTTAAAGTGATATAATCCAGGGATAAAACTTTTGTTTCTGGCAAGCGGATTTAGGCTGTACTGTTTGTGCACGCAGTGAAAGACATCTCTGTGCGCGAGAACGGGATAGTTTAACATTGCTGCTTGAATGTTTAAACTGGTAAAACTTTAAAAGACGTGAAAATGATCACAGGTTACGATGCAATGCTGGCCCAATTGTGCAAGTGAATATTACATCTTGTCCCGACTCCTGAACGCGAGTGTGTATCGACGTCTGCAGCGTCCCTACTAAATTCTACGCGCTTGCGTAAAATTACATTGATTTTAAAATTTGGTCGGGTTGAAAACTTATCTCTCTGATAATGGAACTCGGTCTCCCGCTCCCACTGTCAGATCACCGGAAGTTTTCACCAGAAGCAAATGGCAAATGCCCACACACTCAAGTTCAAAAATCAACGGTTGCCATATTTGTGCACAGAGTTAATTCACTGCAGTCGGACATTGGAGATTCACGCTCGTAAATTTGCCATAACTTTGAAATGGTTGCTGCCAACTGGGGTGGCAGCAGGGGTGGCAAGGCTTTCTATTAGGGTGGCATTTTCCACCCTATGCCACCCCGGTAGATCTGCCCCTGTCCCTTGCTAACTCCTTCCTGCACAGGTTGCGCAAAGGCACAAATCGATTGGGCTCGAGTTCTACCAGGTTTT